AATGATATATTCCATATACGAGCATTCTTTGGAATATGAAATATCAGTTAACAGACACGAACTGAGAACAAACAAACTGCAAACTCAGGCTCTTTGCTGCGGAGAGAAACCTAAACTATAGTTATACGTTTTATCATTAATGTTTTCTAATAATGTTTCTACGTGCAAGTTGGTCCACGTTGCCAAAAAAAAATATATTAAATGGATAGCATTGTCGAGGAATGAAAATATCACACATGATATATTTCATTGCGTTATGTCCATTAAAAACACATACTGTTTGATGTAAAAAAAAGAACATTTCCAAATCTACTTCTTGTTAATAATGTAAATTTTAAGTATGCAGTTTTATATAAACCATAAAGAATGATGTAAACGCAAATCCAATTAACTCTAAAAGTCCTCATGGCAAAGTTTGCAAGTTTTACATCTTCATTTAGCTGTTTTCGATTTCCTTTCTGTTTCTTTTTGGTGTTCCTTTTCCTTCCTGGTCAACGTTAAGACATTCACATACTTATTTGAGATTCAAATTAAACTATATGTATCTTGATCATTTAGATGAGTTAAATGATTGAAATAATTTACACTTTTTTCAGATTTAAATATACATCTCTATCTAGTATTATGATGATTCCTTTCCAAATTTGCAAGACGATTAAACTTGCTTTCTCTCTTTTTCCTCTTCACGGTATATCTTATAATAACCTCTATATTCGTTTTGAATCCACACTTACCTTCTGTTTTAAATGTTCTTCAACTTTATATACTTATAATTTTCCTAAACGTTTTCTATATTTGTTACAAATATTGAACCTAATTTAACATTTTCTGATTTAGACTCAGTACACAAAGGAAGAAAGCTTTCTATTCTATTTGTGCTACAGACAAGATAATGTACACCTGACCTGCATGCAATGACCTATATAGTAAACTCATGTATCTGAAAAGAGTTTTTATTGTTGTTGTTTTCAAAGTCGTGCCATTTTTCAGCAAATGCATTTTTATTGCAGAAAGTAGAACTACTCTAGGGAGAAGTCAGAAAAAACCGGTAAGAACAAAATGGGAACCCAATGCCAAGCTGTCTAACATAACCACATTTGTCACATTTTATGAGCACTAGACTAGAACAAATTTTAACGCATGGGTGATAGCATTCATGGGTAAAGGATGCCGCTTTAGTCCACTTGGCCACACTTGACCACATATGAAATCAGTGAAACATGTTACAATATGTTAAAAGCTTATATTATATAATACGCTTTTATCATATCAACTTGACCCTAATGTTAAGTTAAGTGTCTAGTTGGTATAGAACGTTGAACATATAATATGGCCTATTGTGATTTATCCCATATCACCAATATGAAGTTTTATAAGTGCTGATATAAATAAAACAAAAGTATATTACTAAGGGACTAGTTAATCTTCAGCTTAAAAAAGGAAGGAATATTTGTCTATGTATGAGATTAAGTTTAAATAAATGTATTAGATCTACTTTTTCATTTTCGTTATTTGTTTTTTAAAAGGTGATGCTCATCCGTGAAAATGAACCTCTTATGAAAGGATAGCTCTGATGCATATCTAAATGGAAAGAACAAGGATTGTAAAGATAACTGTGGGAACGAATATCATCCTGAATGGAGATCCTTTGAACATCCCAAGCTACTAATATTTAAATAGTATTCAAACATATTATAATTATGGAATTATAATCTCTGAATATTAGAGAAAAATGTTTGTTTTTTAAAAAATATTAAGCTTTCCAGAAAAATAAACCGAAAATCAATAGAGTTGCCTAATGGTACAGGAACATCTTTTAGGTTAAGCACCATAATAAATAAGATGGCAAAACAATTCCGACACTTAGTAGATAAAGAACAGGATTTAAAAACTGTATTGTTTCTAAAATTAAAACATTTGTTATTTTTTAATAACCAAACAAATTGTTGATTTAGCACCTTTATCTCTTTCCGCTCTTGTCTAGTGTATGTACCACTGCACTAATTGAGCCAACATGATATGGTGGTATCGAATCGACATCCCCTGAAGCCGCAGTTCTCCGTCTATAAATTAAATGTCAAAATTATTTTTCTTCTTCTTCATGTGAAAAACTTTCGACATAGATAGCAATGAAAGCATACCAGTCACTTTGGTACCTGCAGTAGAAGTGCTATAGTGTAAGTAGAACACAGACATTATTCAAAGTTGATGTATTGTTGTTATTACAGAACATGATACTAAAATGAGCAATGCTTTATGAATCAAGGAATCGACCATCGTTTTACAAAGAAAACAAACACAAAACCGATTATTCCGTGGAGAGTTTGGCTAAACGGCTGTATCATCTAGGATTTAGGCATTATCATACTGATACTGATCTGGCTCAAAAGAGGTAAGACGTTTTAAATATTCTTCATTGAGGTGGGTATAATGCCCAACTGTGATAAGATTCTGTAAAGTTCACTCAGAATTTATTTATGATTGTTGGACTACCGACTGTGTGAAAATGGGCTATGATACAATGATTATTTTAACAGTAACAAAATTACCAATGTGTCCTCTATGAAGTTTAGTGGAAGTGTTCATATCATTATTAATATTTTGAAATATACACTTCCACTAAACGATGATAGAAGGGTTATGTTACTGATCGGAGCGTTTTGGAATATAAAAACCGCATCTAATCAATATTGTTTTGTTTCTGATCATGATATAGCGATTATTTTGACAAACAAACTTACCACTGAGTACTGTATGAAGTTAAGTGGATTATCACCTTTGCATGATATATTTTAATCACATGTGGTGATCCACTAAACAATGATATGACAGTTATTTCACTGATCTGGATATTCCTCGTCAAAGATATTAAACCAATTATTGGCTTTCTAGATATGAAATTTGAGCATCGTAGTGTGATCAACAACAACGTTTATGTCTTTTCCACCGTTGAGTACTTGATTGTACAGCGGAAAAATGAGAAAACGTATGAGAAAGGCATGGTTTTGGTTCGAATCTATGTTTGCCGCTGTTCGGGTGCTTGTTACTGTTATTGTGATGTGTCTTTTCTATCTTCTGAGAATACATTGATTAATCTAATTGCATTGGTACAGCTAGATAAAATACGTAGGGGCAAGTGTTTGTATGCAATAAAATACATATACCAACAATGATATGGCCAGAATCAAAATGAAATCATCGCTTTTACAACTGCCAGAATACAGTCAGGCAGGCATGTGATGTGGAAACACAATTTTGTAGTAGTATAAACTTAGAATCAATCATTTGTGAACGAGTAAGTATGTAAGTTGTTGTTATATGTTGTTATAGGATTCAAAGCCATTTTTCAGCACACGATAAGCTATAAATGGCGGCCAGTATTAAAGGTGGAGGAAGAACACTGGAAAATCCCGGAAAAAAACACCGACCCACGAGAAGCTACTGGCAGGCTTTCTCACTTACCCACGAAAGCCGAGACTGGACTCGAACTCACGAAGACAGAGGTGAGGTGGCAGTGATCCGTAACGGTCAGCGCTTTAGACCACTCGGACCCCAAGTAAATAAGTAAATAACATTATTGTAATGACCTTTTGGCAGGATCAAAATTAAACTGGTAAGTAAAGCTTTATATATTACAAACCTATATCGGGCGAAACGTTTGTTTAGTTTTATGATTTAATATAGCGACGAGGAAACGTAAATTGAAATATAAGAAATTGAAATAGTCTTAAAACATCGCAATTCGTTCAAAGAAAGCTTCTGAAATAGATACGAAATCTAATACACTAACCCTATAAACTAAACAATACACTAACATTAACACCTAGCTAAAAAAGCAGCAAAATCTTCCTTACTGCCATAATTACTTACTTAATTGCAATCTCTGCCACGGCAAAAAACAGAAATGATGCCAACAATTAAAAAAAACGCATAAGCTTTTAATTTTATCACGTTTTGGGTGGGATGTTGTTACTAGTTCTACTACTATTTCAACTACTACTACTACTACTACTACTACTACTACTACTATTACTACTACTACTGCTACATTCAACTTTCAATTTTTTAATTTAAGAAATTTTACCTACTGGTAATAACTAAATTACTAAATATGGAAAATATTCTTTAATTCTAACTAAACAATAAACGCAAAACGTAAACAAATGCTAACATATAATAATAGAAAAGAAACAGAGAATACGGGTATTTTTGTTTTATTAGGATGTTTGTTTTGTAACATAAAAACATTAGTATTTATCGGTAACAGGAAAGCACTAGAATTGACATTTTATCTAAGTATCTGCCTCTCACGACCAGATGGCTAACTGATTAGGGATGTACAGCGGCAAACTTAAATTACGAACAAGACCAAACATTGCTATTGTTCCTTTTATTGAAAACTGCCACAACAGAATATGTTTTTTTTTTAAAAAGACGATAATATAAACGAAAGTTTTAAGAGACTATACACAGGACCAATATAATGCCGGAGTAGATAGAGGCTGACATAACTTGGAAAACAAAATAACATTCGTTATATCACAAGTATCCCTGATTGCTTAAGAAAATCAGCATCTCATCAACAAAAACAATTGTACCTAATCTGGTTAATAATCTACTACAATATATATAATAACATTATATTCATCAGTAACCTTGTCTTAAGGATGAGTAGGAAATGCATTCGTAGTCGCATAAACGTACAACACGGTCAATTGCTTTTAATATTGTTAGTGGGTTTAACCGTTACTAATATTACCACACTACGATTAATTACTACAAAAATGAAATTTCATGAATACCAAACGGGGTTGCTAATACAAAACTAATGTAAAATTAACAAAGATTACTGAAGGAAACTAGAAAAAAGATAAAGAATTTAAAAGACTCAAAATGCACTAAAACTCTTGATTTTTGCTGTGGTGGGGAAGAATAAAAATTAATATTATACCGTTTTCCGAGGATGGCTTTTTCACCTTTGTTACTCTTTTGACAATAGCTCTCCAGTGGCTTAGTGGTTCGAGCGTCCGCCTCGGATGCGGACGATCGTGGGTTCCATCCGCGGTCGAGTCCTTTTAAAGAATTAAAAAATGGTTATAACAGCTGCCTCGCTTGACTCTCAGCATGAAGAGGTTAGTATTAGAACTGGTCGGCCTGGTGTTAGGAGAATGTGACTGGGTAGGACATTATGATACATGTCATCGGCATGATGTCAAAATGCAAGACATCACGACATCACTATAAACTGCCACACTGCAGATATCGTAGCGATATGACTGAACAATTGTTAAAAGCTACATTAAAAATCATAATCACATCACATCAAATCTTTCGACAACTACATTGTTTTAAACTTTCTAAGTTGTTGACTTCCTCCTCAGCCTCTGTAATGTTGCTTTACAGTTTTTGTATTTTCATATCTTTCCTTTCTTTGACAATCTGAAGGATTTGCCCGTTATCTTTTTGGGGAGGGGTAGCTTAGTGGTGGCGGAGACAAAAACCATCCAGATTATTTAGTTGTTTCACATAAATACATCCAGTTGCTACATTTGCAATTTTTCCAATTTATCGCTGCTCAAACAAATGCATGGTAAAGGTAAAGTAAAACCTCTACACTAGAATTGAAATCAACTTTACCCTACATGCTCTTTTGATGTCCTTCACTGCAAAACCGACACCATTTTGATGTTATTACCCCTCTACTATACATATATTGCAGATAGTAAATATAAAATACAATTTTATATAAAATTTAACTTAACATATTGGACTTATGAAAGTAGAAACGCCACCTCGCCCACGCAGCATCATTCGTTTACTTTGCTGTTTTACGTCAACATTACACAATCTTGTAGGATAGTATCACTAAATATATTTTAACCAGAGAACTAGTCTGCTGGCGATCGAGTTAAAGCACAGTACTGAATATTCAGATATGCACCCAATTGGATAGGATATTTAGGTAATTCGTTTTCCATTATTAGTTTCATAAACCTATCTGTATGTAATACAGAATATTTACTTATAGTTTCATATTCATTGATATAAAATAATCTTCTTGAAGTGTGAATTCTTATCTGAATGAACTGTCAGATGTTATACCTCCATATATGGTTGAAATTCTTCTTCTAATAGATACTCTATTGACCAAGATGTTTCACCACCAATATATATTTGAACAGTTATCACCGTATTTCAGGCACAGTTAAGAACTCTCTGAGGTGTAACAAACTGTCCTTAGCTGCATTGTTTGATTTTTGATCACCTCATTAATTGTGCTGCTGTTTTGAGGTACAATTTATATCTGAATGCAATATCACTGAGTTGCAAAAAATAGAGGTTTTTACTTAACTCCTAAATTATTTAGGTTGTTGTACATATGACCATACTGAATGTCACTTATTTTGTGCCTTTTGCTTCGCAAAAATTTTATTTTTCTTATTCATCCTGGATCTTTAGTAGTATAGGGAAATGA